CGTCATTTTCCAATTTGTAATAAATGCGACAATGAAAGCTGTAATGAAATGTGCAATATACTGAAGAGAAACAATATGAAACATTATGTAAAAATTAATAGTAAAAGAAAAATAAATAAAAAATAAAACACAACGCAATATATATACATGAACTTACTATAAAAGCGAGAGAAGCTTTTTCACTGATACCATCTTGTACAATATATATATCAGAAGTAATGCGAGTAGTAACTTCGCCTGCGCCATATTTGTCAAAATAAGCTATGTTTTGTCTAAGAACTGCTCGAAGATATCGTTCACGGATTTGTCGTGAGATTCTGAAAGTACATAACACCAATCACATGACGAGATTAGGCCATTTTTTTGGTTACGGGTTATCTTCCCGAAATCCATTTTTCTGAAATATTATATCACCAAAGCTATAATTCATTTTATTGACAAAACATAATTTTGATATCTCATTTTCTCGAAACATCATTTAATCGATAACAATTTTCCGACAAGTCTTTTATCAGAAACCATTTCATCGATCTAAAAAACGATAGCCTATTATTACACTTCATGTTGAAGAATTGAGTTTTCGGAAATTAGTTTATCGATATTGTATGGAGTCCAAGAAAAGATACTTCGGAAAAGTGAACTTCGGGAAATTGAGCAACTACGACCTTTCTTTTTTGAACGATCGAAATTTGATGTTAAGATTATATAAAAAAACACCTTTCACTAGTATATACCCAAGTTGCTACCGATATATATGTAAAAACGACAACGGTAATTGCAAAGTATACATAAACTAATGCTAAATAGTTTACTTTTTCGGAAAACTCATTGGTGCTTATCATATGAGTTTGAAAACGGGTAAAATAATCTGTCATTATTCCCATAAGGACTGATATTGCTGCCTGTCAAATTTATATAGAATATCATAAATTGAGAACTTTAAATAAAGCAAATCGGGCAAACATCATAACTTTTTTGGTCTGATATGCCTTCGATTAATAGCTCACTTGTTATTATCAGGTATTATGCCAAAAATTGGTAATTTGATATAGCTATTAGTTTTCTGATAGCTCTATTGGTTTTGATATATACCCGATAATGACACGAATGACACCATTAATCAGAGACATATCGGGCTGTGATATCTACTCGACTTACCAGTGATAAATCACGCAAAAAAGAAATATTATAATGAACTTACCATGGCAGCTCCC